CTTTCTCTGACTGTCCACTATGAATTGGAAAACAGATTTCCAGATTACATTCTTTGTTAAAGTAGAATTCCCTCGTACAAACAAATGTTTGGTTAACTTTGAAAACATTTTTTTACTATGGTAAAAAAATGCATAAGATAAAATTTACTGTCTTAACCATTTCTAAGTATACAGTTCAGCCTCCCATCTTTGATGTATCATTGATATTTTAAGTATAAAAATAAATGCAGAGATTTCCATTTATTCCCATTACATTTTATCCTGTTGGTTTGGCTTTCTATTAGAAATATTTTCTAATCAATATATTCTAACCCAAATATTTTCTAATCTTAATTCTGTCATCCACTTTTATCTGTTGCTTTCTTCTTTGAATCAGTAGGGCTCTTCTAAATTCTATCAGCATCTATCCCGTTTGCTTAAGCTGTTGATTAAGTCAAAATGCTAGTTTTTCCATGTCAGACACTGGCTGTAGTAAATTTCCTGGGAAAATTGTATGTGTCTGGCAGTTGAGAAATCTGAGCCTTTTTCCCGTTCAGGTTCTCTGAGGCTCTGTGTGACCTCTGGAAGGGGTTTTCCTCTTTAAGACTGGTCTTCAGAGCAAGCTCTAAGAACAGTGTTCCAGGCCGAATGTGTTTTATCCTTTATTGTTCTTCAAGTGGCAGAACTTGGAAATGGGCTGTGTTGCAGTGTCTACAGATGTGATGCCTGTGGTTTCTGAGGTCTGAACATTGGTTAGATTTTGTAGCCTATTTCTTAGTAATTCAGATCAATTAAACATGTAGTCACCAGCACTTACTATGTGTCAGGCACTGTGGTAGGCACTCAAGGTGCAAAGATGACTAAGACTGTAACTCGAGCTCTGGGACCGCACAGTCTCATGAGGGGAACAGATAAGCAAACCATGGGCCTGTCTCTAGGTATGTGGTATGTGCTACAGGAGACATAAATAAGAGATGAGGAAATGCAGAGGAAGAGATCCTATAATTTGCTTTGGAAAAGCTTCACTGAGGATGTGACATTTGAGCTAGATCTTGAAGGATAAGTAAGCACTTTCTAGTAAAAAGGTAACAGAGCTCTATTTCCATCCGAGGGAACAGCATATGTCTAATCCCTAACACAAGACCAGGTTCCACCTGTTTGGGAAATGGCCCAGGCCTGGGCCATCCACAGGCCAGTTTCCTGCAAGACCCTGGATGGCTCCAGCACCTCCAGGCTAGCCATTCAGTTAGCCCCAGAAGAAGAAAGATTTAAGTTTGCAATGCAGGTAAGAATGAATTTGGTGAGAAGGAGAAACTGTCAGCATTGCACAGGCTTCCCAACTGGCAAAGTACGGTCACCAGCTTTATCTTGTTCAAGAGTCATTGTGTACCTGGGAAGGCCATGGAACAGAAATATGACTTTATTTTGCCATTGAAAAAGCTGAGACTTCAGGAGGTCCCTGCTTTGACCCAGATCACTCAGCTTGGGGGTGAGAAAATATGCACAGGCTTGATCCCTACTCTTCTGGCATCACATCTAGGACTCTTTACAAGTATGCCCTGCTCCTCCTCCAAACCAAAAAGGGTAGAAAGCTTTTTAAAGGGTAGAAAGCCATTTCTGGTGATCATGGGCCATAATTTAGCATATTATGGCAATGATGCAAGGATACCCCTTCCTTTCTCTAGGGAAGGAGCATACCTGCCTCACTGCTCTGGAAATGGTTCACCAGTCACCTTAATCTGGCGCACTGGGGCAGTAGCTGAGCCTTAGTGAGCCAGGTCACAACCCACAGTTTGCAGGTGCCACCTCCCAGGCCTTCCCATAGGTTGGGTGGGGGAGGTGCCAGGTGAAGCAAGTCCATTGGATTATGGGAGAGAAGCAGGAACAAGTGCAGTAGTGAAATGAGAGTTGAGGCGGCTCCCTTCAACCAGATCTGGAAAGACAGCGTCATCAGATACGAACTTCATGTCTTTATCAGATATATCATTGTATCTTGAACTAGACCCCTACATGGTCCAAGCACCTTCTCATGGGCTGGCAGCCATGAGGGAAACCATGTCCCCCAAGAACATGCTTACCAGCTTTGTAGGGGAAATAGAACAGGAATAGCTTTGGGCAACTGAGCCCTAATGAATGCCAGTGGGCTATGTCTACTTTCTGCTCTCCTGGGCCATCCCCAGGCCACTCTCCTGGACATCCCTGGTTGGCTCTGGCATCTCCAGACTAGCCACTCAGCCACAGGAGTAAGGAAATTTTGAGTTGGCAATGCAGGTAAGAATGAATTTGATGAGAAGGGAAAACTCATCCATCTCCAGGCTCTGAGCACAACAGGTGTGCCCTCATGGTGAGTGACCTCTTGAGAAGGGTCACAGACAGCTTGTGGGGGAGAGAGAGTTGATTTTGTTGCCTGGTGAGTTTTAAAAGTAATCTCTGAATTCTACTTGTTCACTTTTTTCCATTTTGTACTAGGGCTCTCACAAAAATCATTCTAATGACGTTCACAGATATCAGAAGTCGCTCACAGAAATTAAGTGATTTTTAATTGTCCACAAACTTGATGATCACCTTCAAGTCAAATTGGGTTTTTGCTCCTCAGTGTTTTCCTGTCTAGGTCTCCCTCATGGGTATATGACTACCCCCTTGAGAAACACCTGCTTTTACTTCTCAGGATACCACATTTGTCTTCGTTCTCGAGCACCCACACTTTCTCACATTCATTTGCTGACTCCTCCAACATCCCAACCTTGACCCTTTTGTTTTCATCTGGATTCAGTTCCTTTGTGACCTCACTGAATCCCATAGCTTTAAAGGCCACCTGAAAGCTGGTAGCCTAATTTCTACTTTCTGCCCTAACACTCTCCTATGTCCAAACTCATTTCCCCACCCCTACTGGGATATCTAATTAACATCTCAAACAACATGTCCAAAACATCACTTTTTATTTTCTGCCACCAGCCTAGTCCTCCCTGAGGACCATTCCATGGAGAAAGCCCACCCCCTGGAAATCATCTTGACTGCTTTCTTCTCTTTGTACTCTGCAACCTCTCCATCAACCAGTACTGTCAGGAGTATACTCAAAATGAGTCCTAAATCCAGATCCTTTCACTGCTTAAACTGCTACCTTTCTTTCTTGCCTGCAGCCCTCTCTGCTCTCTTGCCCCCGTTTCCTCACCAGCCAGTCACTGCAGGGTGAAGATCTAAGTCAGACCATGTTATTCCTCTGCTCAAATCCTCAAAGTACTCACCATCTTCCCTGGGGTGTGAGCTGCTGACATCACCATGATCCCATATCACCTCACTCCTGCTGCTTCTCCCCAGCCATGCAGAACTCACTACCATTGTTCCTTGGCATGCCTCAGGACCTTTCCTTTATCTGGACTGACCTTCTGCCAGACCTCCAAATGGTGGAGATCCTGCTCCGTTCAGTGCAAATGTTACCTCCCCTGAGTGGCTTTTATTATCCTTCTTTTTTCCTTCTGGTGTTTAAGACAGAACCTGAGGCCTCCCACATGTTAGGCAAGTGCTGTACCACTGAACCACATCCCCAACCCCTTATCCAGCTTCAGATACTCTCCCTCGCCCTTCTATGATTTACCATTCTGCGGAGTAATTATCTCTAAGTTAAATTATGTTATGGATTTGTTTGCTTATTCCTTTTTTATCTCCTCATTAAGAAAAGAAGTTCTATGAGGCTGGCAACTTCTGCCACCTTCTACATCATATTCCTGGTACCCAGAACAGTGCCTGGCACTGTCTGTGCTCAGCAAATACTTGTTGAATTACTGAATTTGTTCTTCTGTCAAATCTTTAAAAATTAGTTCTTGATAGGCCAACTTGACAATGTCACAAATGGATTTCTTTTAATCAGGTGGATAATTTTTTCCTGTAAGCACAAATATTTGAGTGTGTGGGCCCTTCTTGCCTTCACCTCCCTTTACATAGTGTATATATTGTTTTAACTAATCTCAACATCAGCTTCTACTGGAGCTCAGTTTGGGCCGCAGCATATTCCTGCTGGGTCCATGTCCTTTTATCTTCTGCTGCTCCTGTGCTGCCAGCCCTGTTGCTCTCAGAGATGCCTCTTCTCACCTCTCAGGTACCTCTTGGGACTCTGATCTGTGTTAGGAACTGTGGTTCCTTTGTGGCCAGGAAGCCAGCCTGGGAAACTTAGTGAGGCCTCATCTCAAAATAAACTAAAGGGGATGTAGATGTATCCCAGTGGTACAGTGCTTGTCTAACATATGAAGACCCCTAGGTTCAATCCCCAACACCACAAAAAGAGCAGACGGTAAAAATCTATGCAGAATGGTAAACATCCACGAGGAGAAACAAGTATAAAAAGGACTATACAACAATGTTAGTTATGGTTGCCTCTTTTCTATTACTTTAGACATTTTCTGTACCTCAAAGTTTGTCTATTAAGTATGTATTTACTTTTTCAGCCTTATATTTATTGTAAAAGGAAAAAGATGAACAAAACAAGTAATAAAATTTGTGGGGGAGGGAACAAGACAGATACCTGTATATCTGACTTGATTCAGTTGCCATCACCTCCGGAGTGCTGGGCTGAGAGGGGGGACTTCTTACCTTAAATTCCTTAGGCCCCATGGCTAACCCTTTCACATTCACCCATGGAGGGATGGAACAGCTACCTGCTGCAGGGTTTTTTTTTTTTTTTTTTTTTTTTTTTTTTTTTTGCAGTAAAGGATAAAGTGTGCAGGGAAGGAGCCCTCTGGTTGATGTGGCACCTCTCCACTCAAAGACTCTGACTTGCTATGTGACCTTGCACAATCCAGCTTGCCTTCCAATGGGATGCTTTCATGGGCTGTCCACTCTCCTGGGGAAACTTTCCCAAGATATTTCCAGAAAACAGGGTGAGGAGGAGCAAACCATTAGGGGAGGTAGGTGCTCCCTTTTGAGAACAAAGACATGCTCTTCTCAACACCCTTTTTTTCTTCTAACAAGCACCCTCTTTCTGGCCTGCAAGCAACTAATATGTATATATTTGTTATTTCTTCCAGGAGATCGGAATGGCCTAGATTTCAACAGACAGGTAAGAACTTGGGTCAGAAGAAACATTTATCTTATGAATTTTGGGAATGTTATGTGTGTGGGAATATAAAGAAGATTAAGTACAGTTTGGGGTGGTTATTAATAGACACCTAGCTCTCAGCAGTAAAGGACCCTAGATCCAGCCTCTCACCCCAACCATGACCCAGCGTTGGGGTCTCCTCTTCAGATCACTCCAGAGTGCTGACAAATGGAGCAGCGTTTAGCATGAGCCACGTGCCCTATGTAGTCCTGCGTGAAACGGGGTCTGGAAATCTAAAACCACAGCACTGTGCCCAGATTTGGCCTAAGTACATCTTAGTGAGTCTGTTGCATGAACTATGTGGAGAGGAATCTATAGACACTGTGCCTGTGTTTCTGTAGGGAGCACCTAATTGAAAGAAAGTTAATAGGGACCATGACAAGGACAATGGAAGAGCTCAGAAAAGAGCCCTAACCAGACTTGGGGGACAGTTAAACACATCTGAAAGGCAACCAAGTTGAGCAAAGTTACACTAAGTTAGAAGGGCTTTGGGCAGGGGCAGGTGCTGTTGGAAAGATTTTGTGTTGGGGGTGAGTAAAGAAAAGGGTGACGCAGAGGGAGAGGACTTTACCCCTTGAAGTTTCAGGCTGATGGGGAACCTGGCAGGTGGGAGGTAAAACAGGAAGCACTGTCCAAAGCATCAGTAGGAGTGGGAGAGTTTGCAGGAGGAAAAAGTGTAAGCTGGAGAAAAAACGGGAAACAATAATGGGAGCCTTAGAGTGGGGCACAGGGGAGAGAGTTAGATGCAAAATTAGAAAGCCTTGGTTTTGCTCCAATTTCTGCCACTAACTAGCCATATAATTTTGGTTTAATACTTTTGGCATGAGTTTTTTCAGCTAAAAGTTAATAAATAGGGGGAGGCACCTACTTTATGCCAGATATGGAAACACCGAAAATTAAGACACAGTCTCTGTACTGAGGGAGCTCGAAGTCCACACATATATACATATATATATGGGGGTGGTGGCTGAGAGTCTTAAGTGAGTAAGTCTCATCTGTGCTTTGCTTAGGTATGTAAAAAGTATGTCATCTAACAGAAATAGTGAAAATCGATTCTTTCTGGGAACTCAGAGCAGGCTGCCTGGAGGAGGTGGTGTCTGAGCAAAGCTCTGAAGGATGAGGAGGGATTTGTCAAGCAAGGAAGAGTAGGTTGGAGAAGACAGCAGGTGGGAGGGAGCCAAATCCCAACATGGGGTATAGTGGATACCTAGGATTCCTTCCCTGTGTTCTGCTGTTCTGAATTTGGATTTGGGTAGAAGTCTGTGATGGGGCTGGAGATGAAATGCAGACATACATCACACAAGTTCTTTTCCTCCTGTATCTGTAAAATGATCCTAAGCTACTACTAACATTTCCTAAAAGGCTATTAATTCTGGGCACATCCTTTGCAATCAGAGAGAGGAATAATCTTGAGTTTTAAGCCTAAACTTTTTAGGTAGGCAAATTTTATGATTTTGTTCATTAGGAGAGCTGAGAAATTTGCCAACAAATGAAGACCTTCTATCCCTCCCTTCTTCTCTGCCTCCACTGAGATAAACTTTATTAACTAGAGATCTAGGTTAGCTAAGAAGAAGGATTTCCAATCAATGCAGTTTTTTAAATCCTAGAGCAACTACCAAGGAGGGAGGCTATAGAATCAGCTTTTCACTCAAGATCTTTTTTTTTTTCTTCAGCTTTAATTGAGTTTATTGGTACATTTTAGGGACACAGTACAGTTACATTCATTGTTGAGATCATGTACCTATACATGGCAAGTCTTGATTCTCATTTTTTTCCCCTTACCTCTGCCCTCCCTTCACCCCCTCCTCCCCTCCCCATCTACAAACACTTTATTTTCATCTTTTCATTCTCTCACATTTTTTTCTTTTCCCTTTTTACTCTTCCCCTACCCATCCCACCTTCCCTACACCTTTAGCTCCTTTCTTCCCATTTCTAAATGTCAGTAATCTTATTAGAATCTTATGCATTGTTGCAGATTATTCACACCTTCACTCAAGATCTTTCAAAGGAAGAGATTCTTGTCTAGGAGATGGTTTGGCCAGGATTGTCTCAAGGGTGTACTCCCAGGGCTCTGTATCTGCAGGAGAGGGCTAATCAAGTGGGGTTGTGGGTTCTGCCCTATCTGACCTCCCCCAAAACCCTGGGGCCCACCTTTCACTGCCCTGGGCCTCGGACAGGAACTGCAGGGAGGAGGCTGCCCCACTCCAAGATGTGGCTATGCCAGCCTGCTGGAAGGTAGCCAGCTGCACAGGCTTGGTGGGTTTGGCTGCCTCTGTGATCCATCTAGAGCTTGAGAAATGCTTGTGCTGATTACAAAGCTCTGGGCAGGTTCTTGGGCTCCAGCCAGGCTACAGGGAGGCCTCTGACCCTTTGGCCATCTTATGGAGTACAGTTCCCCACCAGCTGGCTCCTGGAGTAGGCTCACTTTGGCTTATTTTCCCTGGATGAGCCTTGTGGAATGGATTATTCCCCCAGCCCCAGCCCAGGAATGGTTTGGATTTCTCATTACTGCCAAGGGCAGACCCAGTAGTTCTGTGATTTGGGGAGAAGTTTGGAAGGAGAGATACTCAGCCTGGTTGTGCTTATGTACACACTTGGCAGGAGCTCTTCTTGCTCACAAGCATAACCATAGCCTTCCTGAGGCTCCACCCTTACCCTCTTACTCTCCCTCAGAGGCCATCTGATACCATACTCTCACACTCACCTCCACACCTCCACAGGTGAGCTGCAGGTGCTACCCAGGCCACTGCTTGGCAGTCATACCTCATGCTCCATGGCCAGGGAAGTGGACACTCAACACACTTTATCTTATTTAATTCTCATTGGAAACCAGTGAGGTAACTGTGTTATTAACCCTATTTAACAGGTGAGGAAACTGCCTCCCAGACAGCCCTGCCTTTTTCAGCAGTGATGTAAGAGATTTAGTAACTTGATGAAGTCACACAACTGACAGGATCAAGATTTGAACTCATGTTTCCTTGACTCCAGAGCTCACTTTTCCCACTGTGTCCTCCTTTGCAGTCTTTCAACTTCTCTCTTCTGGTATACACACATACTTCTTGGGGAGAGGCCTGGGAGCAGACTCTCAGTGTGACTTCATGGTGACTAAGTGGAAGGAAGTGGGAGGCAGAGGGAGTGGGGAGGAGAGGAAAGTATGATTGTGGAGGAATGGCTTGGGTCAGACACAGAGGAGGTGTTGGAAGACACAGGAGAGCAGGGGAAGAACCACTGCCCTTGGTAGGGCTCCTGTTGAAAGCCCCAGGCTAGCTAGTGTGATTGGGAATTGCAGCTTAGTGCTGGGTAACCAACAATCCCAAGTTTGCATGAACAAGGAATGTTGGCTCATCCAATGTCCATGCACTGTTTCTATGTCAAGCCTCTTAACTTCCTGAGATCAGGAAGACAGCCTGAACTCGTTCTGAGGATAGCTGTGGGGAAGGCAAAGAACTCTGAAGTCCCTCAGTCCCCAGGGTACATAAGTTGAAAAGCAATAGGGAATGGCCAGGTCTCTGGATGGAGACTCAGAAGTCCTGGGTTCCCACACAGTCTGCCCCTCACTTGCTGCTGCCCTTATGCAAACCTCTTCTTCCTGGGCCTTAATTTCCTCATGTATGAAATGAAAACGTGTAGATGAGATGATGTCTATGGGCCCTGACAGTCTGTGTGCTATGGTGCCATCATTTTTCTTTTCTTTCTTTCTTTTTTTTCTTTTTTTGTACCGGGAATCAAACTCAGGGCCTTGCACTTGCCAGGCAGATGCTGCCCCACTGAGCTACATCCCCAGCCTTGCTGTCATTTTTCTTATGCTATGTTCTGACTGGTTAGTTAGATTTTGACTTTCACTCTCCTGGTATTTATGTTTGCTATGAAGAGAAACAGGGAAGAGAGTCACCCTAAACTGTAGGAAGTCAGGGAAAATAGATTCCAGGCAACATTTTGCACCTTTATGATCAAGTGTGACCCAGTAAAAGAATCATTTGAAGTGTAGGAGCAGAGATAGAAGAATCTAGTGGACCACATCTGGAGCCTCCATTCATTCCTTGAATATTTAACCATTGTTTTTTTTGTTTGTTTGTTTGTTTTTTTCCTGGTACCAGGGATCCAACTTAAGACCTTGCATTTGCCAGGAAGGCGCAGTGCCGCTGAGCTAAATCTCCAGCCCCATATTTAGCCACTCTTAATTGTTAGATAGAGGATATTATTTGCAAGAAGATAAACTGTAATATTCATAGTGGACTCTGTAAGAGACGTGAGTCTGAGCTCTGGGACACTGCCTAATGAAAATACAGAGAGATGGTGTTGGAAGTGCACAGCAAAGGAAAGATAAGACTTTGACTGGCAGGCAGACATGGCAACAATGCTCTAGCATAGGAGACAGTGGGTGTGAAGACTTGCTGTTGAAAAGGGTGCAGCTTTGCAGAATGCTGAGAGGACTGACAAGGGATGAGTTGCTGGAGGACGACGTTGGAGGTGTGGGTTGGGACAGATTAGGAGGAGCTCTGAATGCCCAAGAAGAAGTATGGAGTTTATCTCATGGGCAGTAGGAAGCCAGCAGGTATTTTTAAGCCTAGTTAGTTTCATTCCATGGAAGAGCTTTGTAGAGTATGGGTGAGGTGGGAAGAGAGGATGGATGAAGGGCCCATGCAGGAGAGGCCAGACGGAAAGCTGATGCAAGGGGCACAAGTGGGCCACACTAAGGGCACATATTCTAGCACACAAAGCCAGATTACCTGGGGTTTGAAACTTAGCTTTGCACTACATGACTGTGATATTAGGCAAGTTCTTCCCACTCTTTGCCTCAACCTTCTCATCTGTAAAATGGGGAGAATGCTGGTGTCTGGCTCACAGAATGGTTGTACAGGTCGCGTGAAATGTGAATATGTGTGTGTATCTCTTAGGCAAGTGTCTGGAACATATATACTGCATAAGTATTTTCTGTTATTACTGTATCTGCAGACGTG